TTTCCTCCTTTTTCTTTCTTTTCCCTCCATTCTCCTTCATTCTCCTTCATTCTCCTCCATTTTCCTTCATTTTCCTTCATTTTCTTTCATTTTCTTTCATTTTTCGAGTCAAACGTGATCTTTTTCCCCGTCAAAATCCTCGAATTTTCATCATTTTCTCATTTTGAGCGCTGATTTTGTTTGCTAACTTTTCGTAAATTTACGATTTTGAATTTGAAGTGAATCCGGGTAAAGAGGGTCGAAAAAAGGTCGATTTTTTTGGAATACTCTTTTCGAGATCTCTTGCACATTTCTTGCTACAATTTTGCTAAACAATTTTTCAATGTTTTAGATAATCTTATGCGTTTTACAATTTCCATTTGGTATTTCTAAAGCGTAGATTTGTAGAAATGACTGATTTTAATCAAAATTCGAGAGATTTTTGATTTAAGTAAAAGATTTAAGTACAAGAGTACATACAAAGTACACTACAAAGTACACTACAAAGTACACTACAAACTACACTACAAACTACACTACAAACTACACTACAAACTACACTACAACTCTACAAATCCCAAAAATCGCTGCTGGAATGAAATTTTTGTGATTCCCTTTGTTTTCGATCTCATTTTAATGCACCCAAAACATTTTCTTTTCCATTTTTCTTTTCCTTTCGACGTTCCCGATCATCAACAGCTTCAACTCGCATCCTTTTTTGCACTTATTTCCTTTCCAAAAATTTCAAAGTCCTTCAAAAACCAATTGTGGATGGAAAAGAAGAAGAAAAAAGAAGAAAACGAGAAAATGGAGAGGAAAATGGAGACGAAAATGGACAAGAAAAAAGAGTTGAAAAAGGGAAAATGAGAAAGGGTTTAGTTCCGGTTATAGAGTAAAGATCTGAGAATAGAAATTGAAAGAGAAAAGGCTAGCGATTAATTTAATCGTTAGTTAACGATTACTTTAATCGTTAGCCGTTCGGACCATAAACGTTCGAATTTCTAAAATCTTTCAAATCCTTAAAAAAAGCCAATGTTTCTTGAAGAGTTCGATTTGAATCTAGTTATAATTTAGATAAATTTGTAGACATTTTTGATCTATTTGACTGCCCAGAAAGTCTTCTTTTTGTTTTTTTTCGTTTCTTTTGTTTTTGTTTTGTTTCTTTTCGTTTCTTTTCGTACTTTCGTTTGCAAACCAACAAATCCACCAATTAAACTACGATTTATTTCATTAAAAAGCTGTTTATATTTATTTTTTCTCTATTTTCCCAAATGTGGGCTGGTGGCCGAATGGATAGGGAGCTGTAGGACAAGGCTCTAGGACAAGGCTGTAGGACAAGGCTGTAGGACAAGGCTGTAGGACAAGGCTGTAGGACAAGGCTGTAGGACAAGGCGTTCTATTCACTTTTTGCCGTAGGTTCGACTCCACGATTTTCCTTTTGATCTTTTGTGCTAAATAACTCGAATTTCCGAAGTCTTTTGCAAAAACCAAGAGCAGATTCGGAATCTCCATAGTCGAATCTATAAGATGGAGTTGTTCTCGAACCGAAAGGTCACGGTAAGCTCATGCCTTTCCCTTGTACAGGGTACAGCAAACCTTTCCCTTGTACAGCAAACGAAAATTACCGTTACAATGCTCGCTCATTTGCTCGCTTACAATGCTCGCTCGCAAATGCGAAAGCAAAATGAAAGAAAGCGAACGGTAACAACTTCAGCAAAGGTCAAAAAAAAAGTGAGGAATCGCTTGGTGACGCCAAACGCCAAACTAATCGGTGCGGAAAGTGTCAGAAAAAAATGGGGATACAGAGCGAACATCAAATCATCAAAAACAAGCTCAAGTTAAAGGCCTACAAGAAAAATAAATCACAAATGCTATCAGTTGACGCTATCAACCACATGATAATTTGGAAAAAGCGCTCGAAAAGGCTTGAGAGCTGGGAGCTTGAGAGCTGGGAGCTTGAGAGCTGGGAGCTTGAGAGCTGGGAGCTTGAGAGCTGGGAGCTTGAGAGCTGGGAGCTTGAGAGCTGGGAGCTTGAGAGCTGGGAGCTTGGGAGCTGGGAGCTTGGGAGCTGGGAGCTTGGGAGCTGGGAGCTTGGGAGCTGGGAGCTTGGGAGCTGGGAGCTTGGGAGCTGGGAGCTTGGGAGCTGGGAGCTTGGGAGCTGGGAGCTTGGGAGCTGGGAGCTTGGGAGCTGGGAGCTTGGGAGCTGGGAGCTTGGGAGCTGGGAGCTTGGGAGCTGGATCTCCTATACCTTCACGCCACGATCGACGCTTTTCTACGACGTTTGGACACCTGTGTAAAGCTATTGGAGATCTGTTTGAAAAGGAATAGCTTCTATAAATTGTTATGAGTCAATAAAAGTTATTTTTAAGATCTTTGATTAAGAAGATTAAGAAGATTAAGAAGATTAAGAAAAACCTTTGACCTTTTCGGTTGCTTTTTATACAGAGACTTTTTTATATGTAACGGTAATTATGGCCCACCGTTAATTATGGCCCAAGTATTGGGTTTTAATCTTTTTCTAGTCTAAGTATCTGTTTTTAATCTTTTTCTAATCAAATTCAATTTCTAATACCACTTTTTACATCAAATTATTCGCTAACAACGTTCTTTATTCTTTATTTACTTGAGCAAAAGGTTAGTAGACCAAAAGATCTCTCAAACATCAGAGAGATATTGAGGAAAACAAAAATCTCTCAAGAGTTTATATTTATTTTTCCGCTTGATTCATTTTGGCGAGGAGAAGGGATGGCTGTGAAAAGTGGGCGGGGCTAAGGGCCAACTCTGAGGAGCCCGCCCTAGAGTTATCCCATACCACACAAACCAATTTCGCTCACTCAAAAAGCTTTGATTGCTTTGATTGCTTTGTTTTCTTTTATAGAACTTTAGTTTTATTTTATCTATTGATTAGATATTGATTATCTATTGATCTATTGATTATCTATAGATTATCTATTGGCTATCTATTGCTCTATGGATTAGCTATAGATTATCTATTGATTATCTATTGATTATCTATTGATTATCTATTGATCTATTGATTATCTCTGATCTTTTTCAAGATTTTATGAATGATATGTTCTCTATTTCCTCTATTTCCTCTATTTCCTCTATTTCCTCTATTTTATTGGATATTCGAAGCTCTGTACAATTCCTTGTGGATAGTTTTTCAACTTTATGTTTTCAACTAAACAATGAGCAATTTATCTAATACCAGCTGAAAAACGCGCATACCGTATTTTCTCTAATAGTAGCGCACCGCAGCGAGCCGAGTTGGTGACGATTTTACGGTTTCCAAGCTTTTGCAGAAGCTCAACACTCAAATCCCCCACTAGATCTCATCGTCAGCTACATTTTCCGACCGCACATCGATAGGTTCTGATAAGTGGTTCTCGAGATTTCGAGGAATTTAGGCGACGCTCTGGGTGCACTACTATTAAAGAGAATACGGTATCAAAGAAAGAAAAAATTATTTAAGTCGATTCACTGGGGGTTGAGATCTTGGCGGTACGGACGGACAACTCCGTGGCGTAGCCGGGAACTCGCTTGTCGACGGCCCACTGTCTGTCTACGGCCCACGCTCGGCCCCTGGTCTCGGCCCACTCTGTCTCGGCCCCTGTCGTCTACGGCCCCTTCCTCGGCCCACTGTCTGTCTACGGCCCCTCTGTCTACGGCCCACTGTCTTCTACGCCCACTTACGGCCCACGCTGTCTACGGCCCTGTCTGTCTACGGCCCACTGTCTGTCTACGGCCCGCTGTCTGTCTACGGCCCGCTGTCTGTCTACGGCCACGCATAGCTACACTACTGGACAATGAAATATCATATTTGAAAAAAGATCGTCACTACTATTAGAGAAAATACGGTAACAGCTGTTTTTTGTCTGGACGAATCTTTTCGGTCGCCATGGCGCAGTCGAAAGCGCGCTTGTCTACGGTCCACACAATCCAAGTTCGACCCCCGATAGTGTCACTTTTCAATTTTTGATTTTAAACAGTGAATTTAAACGAGCCTAGAGATGAAAGATTGCGAATTTCATTGCAAAGAGAATTCCAAAACGTTAAATTGAAAAGTTAAACTGAAAACGGAAAAAAACCCCCGTTTCCATTCCTATTTCTAACCAAAAATCCCGAAATTTGAATAAAAAGAGTAAAATTTCGTTTTACTTGTGCTAAAACCAAAAATAATGCAAGAGAATCCTTTTCAATGCAAATTTTTGAATTTTGAATAGCAAGGGCTGTCTCATAGGCTTTTAAATTCAGCACTGGTTCATCATCATTCATCGACTCCAGTTTCTTTTTGCTTTTGCCTTCTTTTTACCCGACTTTTTTTATTAATCTATCCGAATCCGAATCCCTTGACTGCGCCACTTTGCGTGCCTTTATCTCTAAAATTAGTGAGCCGATTTTGATACTTTTCGTGTCATTTTGTAGAGCAAGACTTGGACTCAGACGCTAGATCGGATTCAGACTTAAACAATGAGCTGTTCGGGAGCGAATCGAATGGAGATCCAATCCTTCAAGGACTACTGGACGCTAGATCGGCTTCGGTCGCTAGATCGGCTTCGGTCGCTAGATCGGCTTCGGTCGCTAGATCGGCTTCGGTCGCTAGATCGGCTTCGGTCGCTAGATCGGCTTCGGTCGCTAGATCGGCTTCGGTCGCTAGATCGGCTTCGGTCGCTAGATCGGCTTCGGTCGCTAGATCGGCTTCGGTCGCTAGATCGGCTTCGGACGCTAGATCGGCTTCGGACGCTAGATCGGCTTCGGACGCTAGATCGGCTTCGGACGCTAGATCGGCTTCGGACGCTAGATCGGCTTCGGACGCTAGATCGGCTTCGGACGCTAGATCGGCTTCGGACGCTAGATCGGCTTCGGACGCTAGATCGGTCGCTAGTTCTAGTTCGGATTCGTACGTAACATATCAATCTTTACATTCACCTAAATCTCTATCTTTTCTTTATGTTTTCGTATATTTCGTGTTTTTTACTCATCAACTTTTTCAATATCTATTTCTTTTAGCTTAAACAATGAACTGTTTGGACGGAGTGAATCGAACGGAGATCCAATCCGTCAAGGACTACTGGAATCGGGTGAGATTTTAAGATTCTTAAAATTCTAAGGTTAAAAGTTTCGCTTTCTAGAGCTTTCTAGAGCTTTCTAAAGCTTTCTAAAGCTATCTAAAGCCTTTTAAAGCTTTCTAAAGCTATCTAGAGCTTTCTAAAGCTTTCTAGAGCTTTCTAAAGCTTTCTAGAGCTATCTAAAGCCTTTTAAAGCTTTCTAAAGCTTTCTAAAGCTTTCTAAAGCTATCTAAAGCTATCTAGAGCTTTCTAAAGCTTTCTAGAGCTATCTAAAGCCTTTTAAAGCTTTCTAAAGCTATCTAAAGCTTTCTAAAGCTTTCTAAAGCTATCTAAAGCTTTCTAAAGCTTTCTAAAGCTTTCTAAACTTTCTTAACCGTTTTTGACCGTTTTATAAATCAATTTCGTTTAAATCTTTGGCAAAAACTATCAGCAAAAATTGGGCTCTAGTCTTTGAAGGTCCGATAAAGTAAAAATAGGAAACAACTTAGCATTTCAAGACAAAAAATGACGAATCCATTGACGAATGTTTAGAAAATTTTAGCTTAAAGTCCAGTAGAACAAAATTGCTGAAAATTGAGTTTAAAGCATAAAATTAGCTTGGATAAAAAGTTTAATGACGAATTTTTCATTTCGTTTTCCCATTAAGTTTCTTTCTTTCTTTCTTTTCTTTCTTTTCTTTCTTTCTTTCTGTTCCTTTCCTTCTCTTCTTCCTTCTTCTCCTCTTTCCCCTTCCTTCCTTTCCTTTCTTTCCTTCTTCCCTTCTTCCTTCTTCCTTCTTCCTCTTTCCTCTCCTCTTTCCTTTCCTTCCCTTCTTCCTTTCTTTCCTTTCTTCTTCTTCTTTCCTTCCCTTCTCCTTTCTTCCTTTCTTCCTCTTCCCTTTCCTTCTTCCTTCTCCTCTCTTTCTTTCCTTTCTTTCCTTTCTTTCCTTTCTTTCCTTTCTTTCCTTTCTTTCCTTTCTTTCCTTTCTTTCCTTTCTTTCCTTTCTTTTCTTTCTTTCCTTTCTTTCCTTTCTTTCCTTTCTTTCTTTCCTTTCTTTCCTTTCTTTCCTTTCAATCTTAAAAACCAAGAAGAGTCAACAAATTATCTCAATTTAATTGCTTTCAACAAATCGAATTTCAAAGGGATCTAAATAAAAAGAAAAAAAAATCAAATCTATAAGCTTAAAAATAATATTTCTAACTTTCTATACTTGAAATAAAATTGATAAATTAAACTTTTATTTTATTAAACTTTTATTTAGTAACTTTTATTCAATTAATCTTCCAAATGTTTTTTTTTCTCAAAAATACTTTAAAGAAACGTTACCGTAATCGTATAGCTTTTTTCTAAGCACATCTTTTAGAAAATTGATCAGAATCAGATCAGAAAACTGATCAAAAAGCTTTTTTCCTTAAATCCTTTCTTTTACCCTAATCTTCTCTATTTTTATTAAATTTATCTACTTTTTGTTTATCGAAAGATAAAGATCGATAAAAGTCGATAAAACTTGAAAGATTACGGTAGATTACGGTTAGTTCCTTTAAGGCTCCTTTAAGGCTCCTTTAAAGCTCCTTTAAAGCTCCTTTAAAGCTCCTTTATAGCTCCTTTATAGCTCCTTTATAGTTCCTTTATAATTCCTTTATCGTTCCTTTAAAGCTCCTTTATAGTTCCTTTATCGTTCCTTTAAAGCTCCTTTAAAGTACTCCTTTAAGGCTCCTTTAAAGCTCCTTTATAGTTCCTTTATAATTCCTTTATCGTTCCTTTAAAGCTCCTGTAAAGCTCCTTTAAAGCTCCTTTAAAGCTCCTTTAAAGCTCCTGTAAAGCTCCTTTATAGTTCCTTTATAATTCCTTTATCGTTCCTTTAAAGCTCCTTTATAGTTCCTTTAGCGTTCCTTTAAAGCTCCTTTATAGTTCCTTTATCGTTCCTTTAAAGCTCCTTTATAGTTCCTTTATCGTTCCTTTAAAGCTCCTTTATAGTTCCTTTATCGTTCCTTTAAAGCTCCTGTAAAGCTCCTTTAAGGCTTCTTTAAAGCTCCTTTATAGTTCCTTTATAATTCCTTTATCGTTCCTTTAAAGCTCATGTAAAGCTCCTTTATAGTTCCTTTAAAGCTCCTTGAAGGTTTTACACGTTTTTAGAAAACAAATTATAGATCACTTGGCTCTGAAATTATCGGCCAACTATCGGCCAACTATCGACTCAAGTTTAATCCCTTTCCCCTTTCTCAATAATCACTTTTACGCTCAAAAATTATTCACCATGCCAACTCTGGAATTCGATTAATGGCAAAGCTTTGAAGAAATGAAAAATTTAAGAATTCAAGAGAATCCTTTTCTTTTTCCGATTTTCGAGATTTCCGTTCGTCTCTGGGGAGATTTTTGCAAGTTTCAAAAGGATTTTCTTGAGGATAAGGATGCGTTGAGAAGGAAATGATTCAATTTTTGATGGGAAAATATTTGATTCCATTGAGAATATGGTATTAATACGCTTTTTAATAAAGGACCAACTTCTTTGTAATAAAGTAAAAGTTGAAAAGGAAAGAAAAGTTCCGGGGGAGGAATCGAACCCTCGACGTTTTCCCTCTCCGCCAGCTTTCCAGGCCGACGCTCTATCCACTGAGCTATCCAGTACCTGTTTTCGAGAGAAGAAAGAGGGAATACAATGGGGAGGGAAAGAAAATTAGAAATACAAAACAGTGTAAAGTTAACTCTCTCTGGACTTAAGCCCCTCTGAAGCCAGGCGATCAAGTGCGTCGTGGCGTAATGGTTAGCAAATTTGGTCAGTAAGCGGAAGGTCGCGGGTTCGAGCCCCGCCAGTGCAGAAGTTTTTGAACTGCCCTAGTTTCAAATGTACTGCTTCTCAACTGTACTGTCTCTCAACGTGTACTTTGAGCTCGAAAGTTGTAAACGCACATTGCCTGGAGCACTGAATTCTTGATTATTCGTGAAATCAAAGGTTTTCTATGGGAAAATGAAGAATTCTGTGCACCAGGTAATTTGCGTTTACAAATTTCGGGCACAAAGTAAGGCGCATTCTCACAGAATTCCTGGTTTCATAAATAATCAATAATTCAGTGCACCAGGCAATTTGCGTTTACAAATTTCAAGCTCAAAGTACAAGTTGAGGTAAAAAAGTTACAAATTACAAGCTTTCATCACAAAGTTTCTAAACAAGTTTTAAGTTTTCTTTCTAAACTTTGATTTTAAGCCTTTCTAAGCTTTTCTAAGTCTTTCTAAACCTTTCTAAAGCTTTCTAGAGCTTTCTAAAGCTTTCTAGAGCTTTCTAAAGCTTTCTAGAGCTTTCTAAAGCTTTCTAGAGCTTTCTAAACCTTTCTAAACCTTTCTAAACCTTTCTGAACCTTTCTAAACCTTTCTAAACCTTTCTAAACCTTTCTACGCTTTTCTAAGCCCAAAATTTTTCTTTCGAAGTAGATTTTTATCTCTTTTTACTTACTTTTATGGTTTTATTATATAGAACTTGGTCTTATAAAGACGAAAAAAAAAGGGCGAACATTTTAGAGGCCAAATAGAGGCCAAAAAAGACTGATTCTCTATGTAAATCTCTGTGTGAGACTTTTTACTTAAGATTTGACTTTATGGGAGAAAAAGAGAGCTTTCTTTTGCTTTCTTTTTCTTAAAAAGAGTTTGTTTCTTTCTTCTTAAAAAGAGAGCTTTCTTTTGCTTAAAAGAGAGCTTTCTTTCTTCTTAAAAGAGAGTTTTTCTTTTTCTTAAAAGAGAGCTTTCTTTTTCTTAAAAAACAGGAAACGTTCTTCTGCTCGGATTGGTAAAAAAAAAATTACTCTTTAAGGGCTTTTTGATTTTTTGAAAATAAAAAGCCTTTTTTGCGATCATTCATGGGCAAAAAAAGACCGGATTTGGTCAGGGAAATGTTGGAAAAGACAACGAAAATATTATAAACTTACAAGGGAAGTTCAACCGGATGTGACCACAAAATGAAATAAACCACAAAAAAAAAGAGTGGTGGACTAGCTAGAGAGGCTTGGATTCGACGCAGAATTTCACGCTCAATCCGAATCTGATTTCCGTTTTTTTTTCGGCAAAAAAAACTCAACCGGAGATTAGCTGACAAAAATGTGATTTTCCAGCGGATTTTTTTGACCCAAGGTCAATAAAGCCAAGGCTAACCAGGCCAGAAACGAGTGTTGATCTGGTTCTGACCCTGGCTTAGCTTCTGACTTGGCTTCTGACTTGGCTTCTGGTCTGGCTTCTGGTCTGGCTTCTGGTCTGGCTTCTGGTCTGGCTTCTGGTCTGGCTTCTGGTCTGGCTTCTGGTCTGGCTTCTGGTCTGGCTTCTGGTCTGGCTTCTGGTCTGGCTTCTGGTCTGGCTTCTGGTCTGGCTTCTGGTCTGGCTTCTGGTCTGGCTTCTGGTCTGGCTTCTGGTCTGGCTTCTGGTCTGGCTTCTGGTCTGGCTTCTGGTCTGGCTTTTGGTCTGGCTTCTGGTCTGGCTTCTGGTCTGGCTTCTGGTCTGACTTCTGGTCTGGCCTCTGGCTTGGCTTCTGGCCTAGCTTCTGGTCTGGCTTCTGGTCTGACTTCTGGTCTGGATTCTGGTCTGGATTCTGGTCTGGATTCTGGCTTGGCTTCTGGCCTAGCTTCTGGCTTAGCTTCTGGCTTGGCTTCTGGTCTGGCTTCTGGCCTTGTTTAGCCCGGATTTGCTGCAGGGCAGCCTCAAAAAAAGGCTCTAGATCCACTAGAAGTCCTAATTCAGACTTCATCTCTGACCAGCCATTACAAGGGGACCAGAAATAACCCGGACAAACCTTTTTGAGTCGATGTAGATAGACTAAATAAATTTCTGATGGCAAAAATGTTCTGTATTTGGCCACAAAAATCAGATCAGTCAGAAATCAGATTGCAATCAGATTAGGCAGAAATCAGATTGCAGATTTCTGTTCAAAGCTCAAATAGCTTCAGTTTTTTCGAGTTTTATTTGTTCCAGTTCTCTCTTTCATAGACAAAATTCTCCGAAAAGTCTTTCTTTTTTGTTGCAAACTGATTGGCTTCATTTTTTGCTCATTT